ATCATTCCAGTTAATGTAGCTCTATAGGGAAAAAACGTGCCACAGTAGAAACTTGCTATGCACCTGCTTCGTTTTATTACTGACTGCAGTGAGTTTCTTGTGTCTATAAGAGGAGGTGAGAGAGCTCAGGCTTCCAACTGACACTCGGCAGGGACATCACCTTGGGCACTGTGAAAAGGAATAGAAGAATCTGTGTGACCTTCTTAGTAAGGATATTCAAGTCGATGGAAACATGGCAGTTGTCAGAGAGGAGGAAAATCGCAAAAAAGTGGTCCCTGTATACAAAAAAAAAAAGAAAGCACAATATTGTACACCAGTTTCACTCCCTACTTCTCCACTCTCCCGATAGAACTGTTTTCGGGCTTTCTCCACTTTTCTTCCCCAGTTGTGACTTGACAGTCGTCCAGGATGGACCGAAACGTCGTCATAAGGTTCCTCTTCGAAGTGCGGGATTTGGTAAATTCAGTGACTAGCTAAAGAACTAGGAAAACGTACGAAAAGAATAGTTAATTATCTTTCATGAAAAAGATGCATACACACACACACACACACACACACACACACAACACACACACACACACCACACACACACACACTGTGTACGTCAGGCCCATACTGGAGTATGCAGCACCAGTTTGGAACCCACACCTGGTCAAGCACGTCAAGAAATTAGAGAAAGTGCAAAGGGTTGCAACAAGGTTACTTCCGGAGCTCAGGGGAATGTCCTACGACGAAAGGTTGAGGGAAATCGGCCTGACGACACTGGAGGACAGGATGATCAGGGGAGACATGATAACGACATACAAAATACTGGGTGGAATAGATAAGGTGGGCAGAGACAGGATGTTCCAGAGAGGGGACACAGAAACAAGGGGTCACAATTGGAAGCTGAAGACTCAGACGAGTCGCAGGGACGTTAGGAAGAATTTCTTCAGTCACAGAGTCGTCAGGAAGTGGAATAGTCTAGCAAGTGATGTAGTGGAGGCAGGAACCATACATAGCTTTAAGACGAGGTATGACAAAGCTCAGAGAGCAGAGAGAGGGAGGACTTAATAGCGATCAGTGAAGAGGCGGGGCCAGGAGCTGAGTCTTGACCTCTGCAAACACAATTAGGTGAGTACAGTTAGGTGAGTACAGACAGGAAAAGAGTGGTGGAGCACCTAGAGCTTATCAATGACAACCAGCACGATTTCAGGGATGGGAAATCCTGTGTCACAAACCTACTGGAGTTCTATGACAGGGTGACAGCTGTAAGACAAAAGAGAGAGGGGTGGGTAATTTACGTTTTCCTGGACTGTAAGAAGGCTTTTGACACAGTTTCACACAAGAAATTAGTGCATAAGCTGGAAGACCAGGCAGGTATAACAGGGAAGGCACTGCAATGCATCAGGAAATATCTGTCGAGACGACATTAGCGAGTCATAGTACGTGACGAGGTGTTAGAGTGGGCACCTCTGACGAACGGAGTTCCACAGGGGTCAGTCCTAGGACCGGTGCTGTTTCTGGTGTATGTGAACGACATGATGGAAGGAATAGGCTCAGAAGTGTCCCCGTTTGTAGATGATGCGAAGTTCATGAGATGAATTCAATCGGACTAGGGCCAGGCGAAACTACAAAGGGATCTGGGCAGGCTGCAGGCCTGGTCCAGAAACTGGCTCCTGGACTTCAACCCCACCAAGTGCAAAGTTATGAAGATTGGGGAAGGGCAAAGAAAATCGCAGACTGAGTACAGTCTAGGGGACCAGAGACTATAAACCTCAATGAAAAGGGTCTAGGGGTGAGTATAACACCGAGTACATTTCCTCAGGCGCACATCAACCAAATAACTGGTGCAGCATATGGGCGCCTAACAAACCCAAGAATAACATTCAGACATCTCAATAAGGAATCGTTCAGGACCCTGTACGCCGTGTATATCAGGCCTATATTGGAGTATGCAGCACCAGTTTGGAACCCACACCTAGCCAAGCATGTAAGGAAATTAGAGAAAGTGCAAAGGTTTGCAACAAGACTAGTCCTGAAGCTAAGGGGCATGTCCCACGAGGAGAGGTTAAGGGAAATCGACCTGACGACACTGGAGGACAGGAGAGATAGGGGGGGGGATATAAGAACAACATAAGAACATAAGAAACAAGGTACACTGAAGCAGGCCTACTGGCCCATGCGAGGCAGGTCCAAGTGTCCTACCGGCTTAAGCCAATGCTCCAACCTAGTCAGGGCAGGATCACATTCACTTAAGGAACACGACAACTGACCTAGTAGCACAAGCTAGTCAGGTCCAACTCACACCCACCTACACCCACTCATGTATTTATCTAACTATTTTTAAAACTACACAACGTTTTAGCCTCAATAACTGTACTTGGGAGTTTGTTCCACTCATCCACAACTCTATTACCAAACCAGTGCTTTCCTATATCCTTCCTGAATCTGAATTTTTCCAACTTAAAACCATTGCTACGAGTTCTGTCTAGGCTAGATATTTTCAGCACATTATTTACATCCCCTTTATTTATTCCTGTCTTCCATTTATACACCTCAATCATATCCCCCCTAATTCTACGCCTTTCTAGAGAGTGCAGATTCAGGGACCTCAGTCTATCCTCATAGGGAAGATTTCTGATACATGGGATCAACTTTGTCATCCTCCTTTGTATGTTTTCCAGACCATTTATATCCATTCTATAATACGGTGACCAAAACTGTGCAGCATAATCTAACTGAAATCTAACCAAGGATATATAGAGCTGAAGAACAACCTGAGGACTCCTATTATTTATGCTTCTTGATATGAAGCCAAGGATTCTGTTAGCTTTATTGCGAACACTTATTCACTGTTGTCTTGGTTTCAGATTACTGCTAACCAGGACTCCTAAATCTTTTTCGCAATCCGTAATATTAAGATCTACATTATTTAGTTTATATGTGGTATGGTTATTTTCCTGTCCAACATTTAGAACTTTGCATTTGTCTATATTAAACTGCATCTGCTACTTCTCCGACCACTGCATCAGTCTATTCAAATCTTCCTGGAGTGCTCTAATGTCCTCGTCAGAATGAATTCGACGGCCTATTTTGGTGTCATCGGCAAACTTGCTTATGTCGCTCTTTATGCCCTCATCAATGTCGTTTATGTAGATTGTGAACAACAGGGGGCCCAACACCGACCCCTGTGGAACACCGCTCGTGACGCTTCCCCACTCTGATTTCTCCCCATTTATGCAAACTTCTCTGCTGCCTATTTGTCAACCATGCCTCTATCCAGGAAAAAATTTCTCCTATTCATGTGCCTTAATTTTCCTAATAGTTCTGATGTGGACCGTCAAAACCTTACTGAAGTCCATATACACAATATCATATTCATTACATGATCTACCTCCTCAATACCTTGTGAAAAAAGTTAATAAATTCATAAGGCAGGAACGCCCTTTTGTAAAAATGCTGAGATTCGTTGATTAATTGTGCTTTTCAAGGTGGCACGAACTGCCTCGGCAATTATTGATTCCATAAATTTTCCCACAATGAGTTAATGAGTTGTTTTTCGATTATTTAACCCGGAGGTACCTCCGATACCCTGAAAATAGGTTCATTGACCATTGTCTATCTCACTTCCATGGGGTTATAACTGTCCCAGAGAGGACCCAACCAGTAGCGACACCAGGTACCTATGGCAGGTACATGGACAATGCCTGAAACGTGGGAATTCCAACCCACGAAACGACCGGCCCACCGTGAACGGGAGCTTAGCCACCAACCACCAGGGCCACGTAGGCTTATTGTCAATGTTCCGCAACTAATTGAACGCACTGCTATGAAACATATACAATTTGCCAATTACTTTCTGCACCTGCCAGAGGTTGATTAAAGCCATGAGAAGAAGTGACTGTATGACGACTCAGTGACAGCGATCGATATGAATCGACACCCTGCAACCACAGCTGGTGGTACACACCACACACCCACACCACACGGCGAGACTCTACAATAGTTCTCTGCATATCTAATTGAAACGCAAGCTGCATGATAGCCAAGAATAAGACAACAATATATTCATGCGTTTTTATGGCAACAACGAACGCTGTGAATGACGCTCCCACCACCACGTTCGAAACTATGACTACTCTTCCTCTTTCCTTGGACCACCTGACCCGCGCCCTGCGTCGTGCCTCACGAGTGGGTAATGTGATTTATTTACTGAGGTTTTGTAATAAAAGAGAAGAAGAGAGAGAGAGGGGGAGGGGATTTATAAGGAAAAGTATGGGCTGGATGAGAAGGGGGGGAAGCCAGGGTCGTGGGCACGTGTCGGAACGCGGCGGGGGTCGGTGTTCTGGTCCCCAGAGAGCCACTGGGGCAGGCCAGCCGGCCCCCCCAGTGGCCAGTCTATCTCTTATACTGACAACCACACGTTCCCCCCCTCTTCCTCCCCACTCCCCTCCCCACCATCACCACTACCACCACCAAAATTCAAGCACGAGCTCCCCCTCCCTCCCCTCCCCTTTTTCTCCGCCGCTACCTACACCAAAACCACACGCCCCCCTCCCCAATAAGTTCCTATCACTACTAACCTCCTACATATCCCCCCACCCACTTCCTCCTACAACAACCACCCACACCTAACCATCCGCCCTCTCTCCCCCACCTTGTCCAACACATACTCAAACCACACTCCCTCGCCACCACCCCCGCCTACTACAGACTCAACCACACGCCCTCCAACCATTCATTCAACCACTTCCTCGCATCTTAACCCACACAACCACACATCCAGTCTTCTCTAATCCTAAACTCAAACTTTTCATTTCTCTCTCTCTCTCTCTCTCTCTCTCTCTCTCTCTCTCTCTCTCTCTCTCTCTCTCTCTCTCTCTCTCTCTCTCTTCTCTATCTCTCTCTCTGCCCTTGTCAAATGCGAAATGATGATAATTTAATAAATATAAGACCAACTGAGTACTGGGCTTGAAATTAAACAGTTTAAAAAATCAACCAGTTGACTCAAAACTTACCGCATCTGTTGCAATTTTCACTGTTTCTGAGAAGTAATATTATTTCAACAAGGTCAACGCGGCGCAGGTTAACGCAAGTTTCTCATTCCAGGTGTCTGCCTCTGCATTTTGGTCACCCTTCTCATCCATCCCAAGTCTGGGGGTGAGAGAGAGAGAGAGATGTGCTCAGCAATGGAGTTATCTTCATACTAGACTGCCTAAAAAAATAGGTTAGACAAATATACGAGCGAGAATGGTTGTCTAGCAAGCACATCTAAGCCTGTTACGAGCCTCCTCCACTATCACTTGAAATGATCTACTACTACTACTACTACTACTACTACTACACAACTACTACTACTACTACTACTACAACTACTACTAGTACAACTACTACTACTACAACTACTACTAGTATAACTACTACAATTACTACAACTACTACTACTACAACTACTACAACTACAACTACAACTACAACTACTACTACTACTACTACTACTACTACTACTACTACTACTACTACCACCTCCTCCATCAACAATGCCCCATCTTCCGGACAGTTTACCTTACACCCTGTGTCCATGCATTGTTTATATTGTCCCTCCAAAGCTCTTTAGTTAACGAAATATAGCAACACTAAAAGTCTTCATTAGTTCATTAATTTATTAATCTTTAGGTTAATAAATGTTAATGTCTCTTTAACATCAATAAGAGAGGGACTGCGAGGCGTTCGACTATAATAAATGTACTATGTAGTTTAATTGCTAAAACATCACAGTGCCTTCAACTATACTATGAACAGCCAGAGAGTGCGTTAAACCACTATAAGCAACGCCGAGAGTGCGTTCAACTGCACTGAACAGCAGAGAGTGCGTTCAACTGCACTGAACAGCAGAGAGTGCGTTCAACTGCACTGAACAGCAGAGAGTGCGTTCAACTGCACTGAACAGCAGAGAGTGCGTCCAACGCCCCACCAGAGGCGTGTTATCCATGGACTTTTGACTGCGCTAAGCGAGAACTAATGTTTACACTCCGCCAGAAGACAAATGGTGTGGTAATCACCCAGTTCCCGGCCCGGCCACCACGGGGACCCAGCGCTGGAATCCAATTTTTCTAATGTACTAAGTGTTTCCCGTGTGTGTGTGTGTGTGTGTGTGTGTGTGTGTGTGTGTGATGTGTGGTGTGTGTGGTGTGAATGAGAGGGAGGAGAGAGAGAGAGAGAGAGAGAGAGAGAGAGAGAGAGAGAGAGAGAGAGACTGAGGCTACATGCTTTAATTTGCAATAGATGAACTCCAGCTTTTGTCCCCCACCTAGCATGAAGCAGTCTTATCATATATTACTTTGATCTCCCCTTGCATGGAGTCCATTTCAACTTCCACTGTTCAGGTCATTCCACTTCTTAAACACGCTGAAGCTGAAAAACTCTTTAATAATACAGTATTCTTGTAGCTCATTAGGGTGTATAGTCTATAACGGTGCCCTCTTCTTCAAACCATACACGAGTGGGGATAGAACCAGCTATCAGAGAGTCTCAAAACTCCAGACCGTCGCGTTAGCCACTGGGCCAGCTAGCCACAATAAGATTTGTCCAACTAGGTATATTTCTACACCATAGGAAGGTTAGCATAGGCACCACTGTGACCACAAAGGCAAGTTTTTACAGACGAATCTCCAGCTAGCGTGGCCGTGACGAACTCTAGCTCAAGTCCCCTAAAAGCTGTCAACATGACTCACGAAATCGTAATGACTCTCTGATCGCGGGTTCTATCCACACCCGTGGTATGGTTTGTTTGCAGTCGTGTCATTACGATTTCGTGAGCCCTCTTCTTCGTTTTACATGCCCTGGAATACTTTGTATGTATGATCATATCCTGCCCTTGGTCTTCGTTCCTCGAGTAACATTAGATCTAACTTTCTCTCTTCTCTTATAGCATATTCCTTGCCTCAGTCATTGGTCTTGTTGCATTCTTTTGAGTTACATACAAGGTGACAGACACAGGTACGATTCACATACAAGGTGACACAGACACTGGTACGATTTACATACAAGTGGACGATATACATTCATACAAGGTGACACAGACACTGGTACGACTTACATACAAGGTGACAGACACTGATACGATTTACATACTAGGTGACACAGACAGTGGCATGATTTACATACAAGGTGACAGACACTGGTACGATTTACATACAAGGTGACACAGACACTGATACGATTTACATACAAGGTGACACAGACACTGATACGATTTACATACAAGGTGACACAGACACTGGTACGATTTACATACAAGGTGAAAGACACTGATACGATTTACATACAAGGTGACCAGACACTGGTACGACTTACATACAAGGTGACAGACACTGATACGATTTACATACTAGGTGACACAGACAGTGGCATGATTTACATACAAGGTGACACAGACACTGATACGATTTACATACAAGGTGACACAGACACTGGTACGATTTACATACAAGGTGACACAGACACTGCTACGATTTACATACAAGGTGACAGACACTGGTACGATTTACATACAAGGTGACACAGACACTGGTACGACTTACGTACAAGGGGACACAGCCACTGATACGATTTACATACTAGGTAACACAGACACTGGTACGATTTACATACAAGGTGATAAACACCGGTACGATTTACATGCTAGGTGACACAGACACTGATACGATTTACATACAAGGTGACACAGACACTGGTACGACTTACGTACAATGTGACACATATACTGATACGATTTACATACTAGGTGACACAGACACTGGTACGATTTACATACAAGGTGACACAGACATTGGTATGATTTACATACAAGGTGACACAGACACTGGTATGATTTACATACAAGGTGACACAGACATTGGTATGATTTACATACAAGGTGACACAGACACTGGTATGATTTACATACAAGGTGACACAGACACTGTAGATTTACATACAAGTGACACATAGACATGGTATGATTTACATACAAGGTGACACAGACACTGGTATGATTTACATACAAGGTGACACAGACACTGGTATGATTTACATACAAGGTGACACAGACACTGGTATGATTTACATACAAGGTGACACAGACACTGGTATGATTTACATACAAGGTGACACAGACACTGGTATGATTTACATACAGGTGACACGACACTTGGTATGATTTACATACAAGGTGACACAGACACTGATACGATTTACATACAAGGTGACACAGACACTCGTACGATTTTAACTGATTAAATAACATATGAGGTGATTCATTTAATTTTATTATCGGAAAAAATTAATATTGTGCTCATTATAAACTGTAACTTTTGTCACAAACTTGTGTTTATTGTTTTTCTCAGCTAGGATCATAATTTAAGATATTCTAGTGTTTATTTTTGATGACGCATTTGTTGTATAAGACGTGACACACACAAAATTATATATATATATATATATATATATATATATATATATATATATATATATATATATATATATATATATATATATATATGCACATATATTTGAAAATTCTATTCTGGGGCTGCTTTCTTGGTAATGATCATTCTCTAAAAGTTCCTGTTTATTTCCACTTTCTTGCTGCTCCCTGGTCTGGAACCTGACCACGGGGGCAATGACCCCCCTGAAAACCCCTTCAGGTATCCCCAAGATGGTACTATTTTCCCGGTCTACTTTCCCCATTATCCAGCCTCAGTCACTATGCGACCATTCTTAGTCTTTCCAAGTCTATTTGCAGTCTTCACTAATTCCCTTCAGTTTGTATTCTCGTTAACTTGGCGTCGTCTGCGCATAAGGATACAAAGGAATTTATTCGTCTGATCAGGTGATCAATATCTACCAGGAATATCTTAAGTGTAAAGACTAACCCCCTTTTGCATCTTCACTTGTTCCGCTTAGCCATCATGATTCTTCATCAATTATGACTGCTGCTTTTCAATCTTTTCTTTATCTCCAGTTTACCAAGAATCCATGTGTGTAGCATCAAAACAAAAGCCTTCTAGCATAAGAATGTGTGCAAACTAAAATTTTTCTCTCTCTCTCTCTCTCTCTCTCTCTCTCTCTCTCTCTCTCTCTCTCTCTCTCTCCCCCTCTCCCTCTCTCTCTCCCCCTCTCCCTCTCTCTCTCTCTCCGGTTTATTTTTTAATCTAGAATAAATTTCTTCATGCCATGTTGTAAATCCTCCTATTTTTTTTGTTTGCTTGTTTACTTGACTTGAAAAATGTAGGCCTTTACTTATGCCCTTCTCGTCCCTAACGACTGACTCGCACGAAAGGGAACTAGATAGATTTTTGGCTGGGGCCATTTCTCAACCTTTTCTCTCTCTCTCTCTCTCTCTCTCTCTCTCTCTCTCTCTCTCTCTCTCTCTCTCTCTCTCTCTGTCTCTCTCTCTCTCTCTCTCTCTCTCTCTCTCTCGTACTCCAACATGAATATAAAATGTTTGGAAACGAAAGGCGATTTCGATCTCTTTGGAGAACTCATAAGCAATGATCACATGAACATTCAACATTGTGTACGAGGTGTAAACATGATCCAGAATGCTAGGCTTCATACCTTGCAATTTCGAGCACAAAACATCAGAATATTGACTCTTTGCATCGGGGCTTATCAGACCACGTCATCAGTATGCTTTCCAGTTTTGGTCCAAAATGTACATCATACACGAAGACAGGCTAAAGTGAGGACAGAAGAGAGTAACTGAACACATAACATCATGAAACAACAAACCACGTGAAGGCTCTAACCACTAGACCTGTTCTCTCTTCGAAAATGGCTACCACAAGGTCTCATTCGAACCTTCAAGATGCCACACTTATTGGATACACTTTAACACGAATAACTATTGGAGGTACATTGAGACAATAACCTAATACATGGTACGAAACTTCGAGGCAAGAGATGCAACACTAGCTTGAACAAAGTGTTTTTTTTCTCTCGTTATAGATCACAGGAATAGATTTCTCATTGATGGTGCAACAGCACAGACCCTAGTTATCTAAATTCCAACAGGTCGGCTTCTATGTATTAGACTCAACTATATGCTTTACATGGAAAGACTAACTCAAGAACCACCTCAGGACGACGAGCTAACTGTGATCCAGAGTGTA